TCAGCACCACATACAAACAAAGATGTTGTGTCCGCTGAAAACTAAAAAATAAATATTAAAAAAATTCTCTCTCTCTCTCTCAAAATAAAATAAATAAATAAATAAAAAGTATTTAAATCATTTTTACTCTTACTTATTTTCTGTCCAGTTATTTCATCAATTATCAAAATTTGGGTATTGAAATATCTACACAGAATTGTCAATTTCTTTCTTCAGTTTTGTCAATTTTTGCTTCATATGTTTTGCAGCTCTGTTGTTATTTGTGTCTAATAGTTATACCTTACTGCTATATTAGTTTTTTTTACAATTATGAAAAGCTTATCTCTCTCTCTCTCTCTCTCTCTCTCTCTCTCTCTCTATATATTTTTTTTTTTTTTTTTTTTTTTTTTTTTTTTTTTTTTTTTTTTTTTTAGTATATTTCTTTTCCTAAAGTCAATATGTCTGATATTAATTCAGCCAGCCCAGCTCTATTATGATTACCGTTACATAGTCAATCTTTTTCATCCTTTTACTGTCAATCCAGTGTGTCTGTGTGTGTGTGTGTGTGTGTGTGTGTGTGTGTGTGTGTGTTGCTGGGGATTGAATCCTAGGCCTCTCATATGCTAAGCAAGTGCTCCACCACTGAGCTACACTCCAGTTCCTGTCAATTCTATTTTTATCTTTAAATCTAATGTTTGTCTCCCTAGACAGTATTTTATTGGATATTGTTTTGTAACCAGTCTAATTATGTTTGCCTTTGAATTAGATGTTTAGGAAGTAATGTAATTATTGATAGGCTTGTATTATATCTGTCATGTTGTTATTTAATTTCTATATGTGGCAGATTTTTTTGTTGTTCATCTGTAGCTTTTATTTTCTTCTTTTGTATTAAATACCATGTGTAACATTTTTATTCCATTGATAGGTTTTTAGATATTTAAAATTTTAAATAAAGAAATATTTTAAATTCTTAATTGTTGCTGTATAGATGAAAATATACATCTTACCTTTTCAAAATATAATTCAAGTTCATACTAACTTAATTCCAGTGTAATATGGTAACTTTGCTTCAATATAACTCCATTCCTCCTTCCCTTTTGCTGTTATTATTTATATGTATACATGTGTTATAAACTTATAAAATTATATTTTATTATACTAATTATTATGACATTTTTACAAAATATTTTTGAAGAAATTAAGAGGAGATAAAAGAACAATTTTTACTATTGACCCACATACTCACCATTTCCTGTGTTCTTCTTTTTTTTTTTTTTCTTCTCTTTTTGGATTCTGGTTACCACCTTGCATTCATTTCCTTTCAGCTTAAGGAATTTCCTTTAGTGTTACTTGTAAAACATATCAGCTAGCAAACATTCTCTGATTTTGTTTATTTGAGAATATTTTACCTTCATTATTTTTTTTTTTTTAGAGAGAGGGAGAGAGAATTTTTAATATTTATTTTTTTAGTTATTGGCGGACACAACATCTTTGTTTGTATGTGGTGCTGAGGATCGAACCCAGGCCGCACGCATGCCAGGCAAGCACGCTACCACTTGAGCCACATCCCCAGCCCCTTTACCTTCATTATTAAAGGTTAGTTTTGCTAGACATAAATTTTCAGTTTTTCTTTCAGCAATTTGAATATATCATGCTACTGTTTTTGGACTTCCATGTTTCTAATGAGAGGTTGGTTATTAATTATATTGTCCCCTTGTATGTGATCAGTTGGTTTTCTCTTGTTAGCTTCCAGATTTTCTTTTGCTTTGGCTTCCTACACTATAATGTGTCGAGGTGTGGTTCTTTGTATTTATTCCACTTGGGTTTGTTTAGCTTCTGGGGTCTGTGGAAATTTTTCATCAGATTTTGGCAATTTTTTTCCATTATATCATTAAATTTTTCCTGCCTCTTTCTCTTTTAGTCTTCTGGGGCTCCACTTATGTATATGTTGTTATGCTTGAGTTATCCCAGCAACATCTGAGGCTCTATTGATTTTCTTTCATCTTTTTTCTGTGGTCTTCAGATTGAGTAATTTCTAATGATAGGTCTTAAAGTTCACTGATTCTTTCTTCTGTGATGTCCTCTAGTAATTTTTGTTTACAGTTTCTGTTATTATACACTTCAACTCAGAATTTCCATTAAGCTAATGAGACACAGTGACATGTGGCTATAGTCCCCGATGCTGGGGAGACTGAGATAAGAGAGTTGCTTGAACCCAGGAGTCTGAGACCAGCCTTGGCAATAAAGTAAGACTCTTTCAAGAAAGGAAGTAAGGAGAAAGAAGGAGAAGTGGGAGAAAGAAAGAAAGAGATGAAAGGAAGGGAGGGAGAGAAGGAAGGAAGGGAAGGAGGGAAGGAGGAAGAGAGGAAGGGAGAAAAGGAAAGAAGGAAGAAAGGAAATTTCCATTAAGTTCCTTTCTAAAAAAAATACTTCTACTTCTATATTGAGATCTTCTATTTATTGGTTCATTGTCAACATACTGATTTCTTAATTCTTAAGCATGATTTTCTTTATTCTTTGAATATGTTTATAGTGGCTGCTTTGAAATATTTGTCAAATCTAATTTCTTCTGGGCCCACTCAGAATCGGTTTCTATTGCTTCCTTTTTTCCTTGAGTATAGGCCAGATTTTCTGTTTCTTTACTTGACTCACGATTTTTGTTGAAAACTTGACATTTTATATGATATAGTGTAGCAATAGTAGACTGATTTTTCCCCTGAGCGTTTATTGTCTTTATTAACTGGTCTGAACTTAATAAGCAGAATCTCCGTCTCCTGTGGTGTGTGGTCACTAGTGCTTCTGCTTGGTTTTGTTTTGTTTTGGGGTTTGTTGTTGTTTTCAGGTTTTGTCTTTTTTTTTTTTTTTTTTTTTTAATTTTTAGCCTGCCTAACTTTCTAAAGATCATTCCTATATCTGAAGAACTCAGTGGTCGGACAGGGATTGGGCAGAGGCTGGGTTCAAACACTGTCAGCCTAAAAGATCCATCCTTTGTAATGGATCTCAGTGTGAGTGGAGGAATGCATTCAAAATTCAGTCCATTTTTGAGTCTATCTAATTTTGACTTTCTTTCAGGCTCTCTTGATTCTCCCCTACACATATGCATCAATCAGGGATGTGTGGAGAGTTTATATAACTTCTCTAGGGTGCTCTCGTTTCTAGGATTTCCCCCATTAAATTTCTGCTGGTCAGCTCCTTACTCCAACCAGGACTGCAACCACAGACTAAGAGAGCCGCAAAATTTCCCTTACAATTTCTCCTGAGTTAGCTGCTTTTATTGTCAGCACTGGGGGTGGGTCTTCATCTTCCACTCCAAATCAAGCCTACCAGATTCTGACAGTGAGGCTGCTGGTTTTCACCATCAGTGCTGCCCTGGTAACACTGCTGTGTTCAAGCCACAGGGCAGGGGCAGCTCCAGGCATGAAGGCCATAGACTCTCGTTATTTTTATATAAAATGTTAGCAGGTTTTCAAGACTACATATTTTTCCATGTATTGTTTTATTACTGAGGAAAACTCTAAATAAACCTGTTAGCTTCACTTGCTCTTAGTTGACTTTAAAAATCACTAATTTAGAAGGTCACACTGCTGAGTAATACATTATTAGTCTCACAAGTTTTGCAGGAGTTAACACGTCTGATGTGAAGATTATGATGATAATGGTTGCCTAGGTTACTCTTCAGGGACCTGAAATCCAGTTTTGCTGTAAAAACTCTTCACTTGGGTCTATGGATGTCCAATGGGTTGAGTGGAATGGGATAAAAAGACTTGGCATCTCTGCCTTCATACTGTGTCTGTCTCCTTTGTTGTCTTAACCTTTAGGTCAGATTCTACTCAGCTCTGTATGTAGGCCTGTTGAACATGTGAGAAATGTGTTGACTTGACCTGGGCTCTCCTAGCCATCCCCCCAGGCCAAAGACACCTACCAGCCACCATGACCAGAAACACCAGACCAAGAAAGAAAGAAAAAAAGGTGGCATCCGTGTTCCTGGAAGATCTCTGCCTATTCCCAGAAAAGATATGAATATTCCTCCACTTTATTATCCTATCCCTCCTCCTCATTATTCCTATGTGGTTTCTGCAACCGCTCAACCAGAGTTGAGAAACTGATTTGTGAGCAAAGTTCCCTCTTCTCCTTCATTTGGCCACTGAAGAAAGCCTTTCTCTCTCCTCAGGACTTGTCTCTCAGAGGAGTGTTTTTCCACGGGATGAACTTCCATTTGAAATGTTTCCCTTTGAAATATTCAAAGCCCTGACATATTTTTTTAACAATTTCACTCAGTTTTGTGTGTGTGTGTGTGTGTGTGTGTGTATAGAGATGCAGGACAGATTTGCCCAACCCATGACTCTGCTATGATCAAAAGCCTCACTCTATATGTACATTGAAAATGCAATCACACACACTGCACATCTTGTTTTCCACATTGGAAAGTCTATATTCCAGATTTGGTTTCATTCATGCATTTGATAATTTGGCTTCTTTTGGTTGGTTTTCTAATTTTTCAAATGGAAATTTTGGGATCAAATGTTTAAAAAGAGTAGAAACCCACAAGTCTAAGATCAGCCTAGGCAACATAGCAAGCTCACATTTTAAATAAAACAAATAACTAATAAAAAGCTGGAAAGCAGGGATTGTAATGAGTCAACCTAACAACTGTTTAGGGCACAGGTCAGGCAGATCAAGAGAGGGACTCCCTGCTATTGTGAGTAAAGTGGTCAGAGGGTGAAAAAGAGAACACCTCAGGGGCTAGGGTGTGTCTCAGTGGTAGAGCATTTGCCTAGCACATGGGAGGCCCTGGGTTCCATCCTCAGCACCACATAAAAATAAATAAATAAATGTATTATGTTAAAAAGAGAGAGAGAGAAAAATTAAGAGTAACAGTTTAGATAGGTGTCAATCTCATTGTATTTATTCTACTTGGGATGGATAGTTTTCATTAGATTTGGGAATTTTTATTCATTTCATCATTCAATATTATTCTTCCATTTTCTCTTTTGGTCTTTTGACCTAATCGAAATATTGTTATGCTCTCTTTGACAGCACATATACTAAAATTGGAACAATACAGAGAAAATTAGCATGGCCCCTGAACAAGGATGGCATGCAAATTCATGAAGCAGTCCATATTTTTAATAGATTCTACTGTCATGCATAACTAAAAAGAACAAAAAAAATAAAAGAAATATTGTTAGTCTGAAAAGGGGGGAAGTTGTTTGAAAACCTGACAAAAAAAAAAAAAAAAACGGTACCAAAAGCTATAAGATCTTTGCATTTATCTGTTTATGTATATATGCATGTTGCTATGTGACATTTTCCTATCTGGATGGTATTTTCAAATTAATTTATAAATTCCATAGAGGAGCTCTGTTTAATTAGCTAAAAGGAAAATAAGTGATTATATGAATTGAGTGTTCCTTCAACTCTTGGAAGTACCAAGACCAACTCCAATGTATTTCAAGTTCACATGATTTGAGTAAATCTTTGGTAAAGAAGACTAGTTTAATATTGTTGGTTTAATAATTAAAAGCTGCTTTTTCTGAGTTATCAGCAAAAAGATGTATTTGACTTTCTGTTCTTGCTTTGTTGACAATGGCCTGAGAAGCACATGCTGTAAAAACAGTTAACAAGGAAATAACTCAGGACGGTGGTCAGCTTGGTTTAACATCTCACAATTTTTTCATGAACAATTCACGCATCATTGTTAAGTACAAGTAAATGAGGTGAACATAAATGGGATAAAAATTTATAAATGAATTTTCATAGTTTCAACAACTTTTTTTGGGTAACTTGAAAGGTAAAAATTATAATATACTAAATTAAGTGATATTCATTAAATCTCTGAACCTGTCTAAGTCAGTTAAATGCTGAAACATTAACTCTGAACTTAAATTTAAGTTTATATACTTTTGGTATCTTTTTATTTGGTAGAGAGAAACTAAAAGTATTTGGGCATGTTAATAAATATGGAAATGTATACAATACATAAGTGTGTATTTCTAAATATTAGAGTTACTAAAAGTTCTCATTAATAAATACAATTTTTAGAAATAATAAAGTAAATAACTGTGTACACAAAGAAAGTAAGACATATACCTGGTAAGGAAAGTTATGAGAATGTGTTTTCTGGTTGTTATTTTATTGTTAAGGGACAAAGAATAATTTTTGTCCTAAGGTAAAATGACTGGTTGTTCCAAAATGGGAAAGAGGAAAAGTACAGAACAAGCTACAAGGATATAAGAAAGTGGTAGAAGGTTTGTGGAAGAGAACACTTGAAAGAAGAATTTTATGTATGGTCAAGATGGTTAAAATTGAGTGAAGTTATTACAGGAATTTTTAAAATGATGCTTAATATCAAAATTACATTTGTATAAAACCAACCCTTTCTCTGTTAAAAGAGCAAAGTTTTCTTGGTGGAAGTTTTTCTTAACCTTTTAAGTGATCTGCCTTGAAAACAAAGAGCTTACATCTTTTGAAAATAATTCTCTGTGGTTCATGTTATCTTTTTTTCCCAAAAAAGTATGAATAATTTATTTCAGGAATAAGATTAGAACACATATTTGGAGTTTCGTGGATGCTCACACTAACCCAGATTCATGCACCATTCCAACAAGTATTTCCCTGAGCTTCTACAGGTGTTGGTTTCCAGTAGACCTCATGAGGAAAGACAGTCACAAAATCCAGAACAAGGTATTTTCAGATCCTCTCACTAGAGCTAGCCTAGTTAAGTGTCCGTCAAGTTTGTGGCCCCAAAATTCTAAAACTACACATGACTAAAAAATGAAATAGTTTCTCCAATATTTAACTTGTCTTATTTGAATAACTTTATTTATATAAGATAAAATTTACTATTCCTAAAGAACTGATAAAGAAAATCTAACTTGTTTAAAGCCAAAGGGTTTAACTTGGTTTAAGCAAACAGAAACATTTTTGTGAAAAGTCCACAATTAATTTGACTTCAAGATTGACAGAATCCAGGGATTTGAGTGATGTTCTTATATCCAAGTGTCTCATATATTAGCTCTGCTGACTTCTTTCTTATATGCCATAGGATTAGCAAGATGGCTGGCCACTGTGCCCTTTCTTATATTTTCTCCTATATAATGCAAATTTTGGATCTGAACTTTCTCATTGGCCCACCTTGGGTCACAGGCCATACAAATGTCATTTCTGATTGGCCAGTCTGAGTCACATGTCCATCCCTAGACACAGGGATAGATCAACTCTATTTGGCAGAAGTTCAGATTGGTAGTAAGAAAAAGAAAGGAAAATATACACTGCACAGACAAAAAAGAGCCACAGTGATAAGCATATGTCTCTCAGGAGATTAAAAAAAAAAAAACCTTCCATTAGCAAATGGGGTACTACAGCAGAAAGGGATGTAAAGTAGAAGTCAAAGTTTCTTAGTTCTAATGTTAGCTCAACTGGTCCTTGTAAGATATAAATGAGGATGCAGTGAGAGCATTTCATTAACATTTGAATAATACTTATGGTTAAATAGCATGGTTATTACTCAAGAGGCTGAGAATGTATCCCTTGGGAGGGGAAAAAATAAAAAATCTGAATCCCATCAAAGAAATTCCAGCAACAAATTATGTAAACAAAGTTGAAGTAAATATTATATGTCTCTTATTATTATTATCCTTGTCTTTTATTAGATCTTTCGATTGTTTAAAAAAAAACAGTCTTCACAATATTAAAAGAGCTAAGGTTCTTTTTTTTTTCTTTTTATTTAAAAAGGTTTTTCTAGTTGTAGATGGACACAATACCTTTATTTTATTTATTTTATTATATTGCTGAGGATCGGACCCAGTGTTCCATGCATGAGAGGCAAGTGGTCTATCACTGAGCCACAACCCCAGCCCGCTAAGGTTATTTTCAACCATGCAACTTTTCTGTACAGTCATCTCTTGGTATCTGTCAGGGACTGATTCCAGGACACCCGTCTTTCCCACACAGGTACCAAAATAGTAGATGTTCAAGTGCCTTATATAAAATGGCATAGTATTTGTATATAACTTATACACCTTCTCCCATATATTATAAATCATCTCTAGATTGCTTGTTGTATTTAATACAATGTAAATAGTTACTGTACTATATTTTTTAGGGAATAGTGACAAGAAAAATGTTTGTTCCTTCCTATTTAATACAGATTCAATTTTTTCTGAATATTTTTAATCTGTAATTAGTTCAACCTGTGGATACAAAACTGATGAATACAAAGGGCTGGCTATAATTGCCTTTAAAATATTTTGTCAATTTGCATTGTTTCTTAATAATCTGTGATGTTGTTGCTTTTTTTTTATTTGTGTGTTGGGGGTTGACTGAAAGTGAAGTGATTTTTTAATCTATAGATAAATCCTCTAAATGATATTCAAGATATATCACAAGTTTGGCTTTAAAATAGATTTGAATTTGTAATAGGCCTTACAATGATTTCAATAAGTCAGGCATTTGAGAACATAATGTGGAGGCACAATTATGTAATGACTTCTTAATATTCCAAAGGCATAAAGAGTTTTTTCAAATATGGAAAGAACTTAGTCTTTCTACAATGTCAATCTCTAAATGCTGTTCTCCTTTATGGACTACAATATTTTTTATCAGTTTCATATACTTTTACTTTATAAAGAATTCCCATCAGAAGGAATTTCTAGAGGTTTTTCTCAGGTTTATACAGCCACATTTATTGTCATACTTAGAATATCCACAAAGTACAACACATCCATATCCAGATTCTTAGATCAAAGGACTTCATAATTCTCTACTCCATATATTTTATGAGGTCTGTCAAATTCAAATTCATATTTGTAACAGGATCAATTTCTTCATGAACAACTATTAACTAGGAATTAATAATTGTGCCTGTGGCCATTTGGATTGCTGCATTTCCCAATTTCAGTTTTCCTTCATTCCTCACCAATTTGCTGGACAAGGTGGGACACTTGCATCCAGCAGAAACTGCCTAATGCCACTGAGCTCCTGTATTGCAGGCCTGGTACCTCAGCCAGCAGCAGGGATGGGCTGTGAACATACAATCTAGTGTTTTAAGCCTTTTGATACTTTTAACAAACTACTCAAAATCAAATTCTATATGGCCAGTCTGCCTGCCTCTCTTTCTTCTTCCTCCCACTCCTTCCCTCCCTCCTTCCCTTCCTCCTTCCCTCCCTCCTTCTCTCCCTTCCTTCCTTTCTTTCCTCAAATTGACTTTGGAACCTTCTAGAGAAACTCTGCAAGTTCTCAAAAGAATCTATTCCCTCCCTTTACAAGAGATGATAAACTAATTAGGCTTATTTGACATGGCAAATTTGCATGGGAAACATTGTCACAAAGTGATGTTTAAGTGTTCCAGAAATTGTATGAAATTCCTTTAAGTCTGATGTGTCCTGATACAATGTTATCAGTCATAATTCTGATTATTATGTTAAAATGTTATATGTCACAGAAATAACAAATTTCCATATCAATTATGAGATTATCATAATGAACTATTATTAGATCTTTAATCATGGCCATTTTAAGTCTTGTCACCCACAGATGACAAGTTAATTGTTTTACTCTGATGCTTTCCCCCCAAAGGCTTTTCAAACAACCATAATCCTAAAGCATTGTGTTTTCAAAGACTCATGTAAAGGACTCTGGCAAGTTTCTGATCACTTCAGAGCATTCCACTGGACTTGACAAGAATTTTCAAAACTCTAATGAAGAAACCAATTGGCTCCTATGCTGCTAACCCAGCATCAAGCAAAACAAGAGTTAATTACTTGGGACTAATGAACTGATGAAAGAAAAATAATTTTTAATCATCTAATAAATGTGTTCCAAATTTAAGGAAAAATTTAAGCTATATATAGCTTAAAACAATTTAGTAAATCATACCTTTGTAAATAAAATTGAAACATTTATTTTTTCTCCCTACATCATTCCTCCAGAATTCAAAAACTGTTGGTGAATAATTTTATTTTATGACAAATAGTTATTTGCAAAGTTTCAATAAGAACTGTTCTAAGAGAATATAATCAGAAACTGGCTATATAATTAAGTTTTGAGAATGTGCACAGAATACCTGCTTGAAGTGTTCCCCAGCCTTATGAAAAGAAGACCCAAGGAACATGAAGATATAATAGAGTT